ACTAGTGTAGTATTTTTTAATTAGTGTTTATTTTATTTCTCTTTAATGGTATTCTGACAGTTGGAAGTGACTGCATCCTACTTCACCAGTTCTTAATTTGTCAGCTTACTTTTCATCAGTTGGCCATACTGTGAAGGTCTTTGGGGTGAGAAATAAGATCTGAGGGTTTTTTTTAATTGATGATAAAATATTTTTGGTGACTTTCTTTGTGTTGATATTTTCCTTTTCCAACATTTGAATAATTTTTACAATTTCAGTCAACCTTGATGCTTCTTTCATTTGGGTTTGAAGTTCTTTGAAATGCATTGGCTAGATAGAGAACAGACTTTCGTACTCTATTCTAGAGGAGTTTTCAGTCATCTGCTTTGTGTAGCTTATAGAAAGCTAGTAAGCTGCTGCCTCAGTCTTGTTCAGTCAGAGACTGAGGAATTAAGAAAGCTCTGGGATGGGATATGAAGATGTAAATAGCAATAGCCATTTAGGCCCAAGATGCAGGAGGTGCAAGACCACAACTTGAAGTTACTGTGGTATGGTGAGGTGTGTGGAAAATATGAGATACAATTTTACAGTGAGCTTGACTGCAATAGTTCCTGTGAAGAACAACCTTTCTAATATTTAAGTTTGATTTTGTAGATTCAAGTCAGCTGCATCCTTTACCTGCTTTTCTGCTTCCCCCTAAATCCTTCCCCAAGAAAATTCCTGTAGCTACACTACCTTTTTTTTTTTTTTTCCCTGCAGCTAAATTTTAAGGACTTGTAGCAATATTTTTTTTTAACTACCTAATACATTGACCCTAATAGTGAGATAAATATTGAGTAGTCCATTATTGTGTGTAGGTACTCTGAGGATTAATGAGTGTATATGCACAGGCAAGAGAATGAAAGCAAATCTGTCTACAGAATTAGGCTGTATTTAAGGATACTGAAATTTCTGCCAAACACGGAACACGGTGAAATTTCATCCGCCATTTATGTTGTCCTTAATGTTCTTTAATTTAGCAGACAAGATTGTTTATAATTAAGCTTTCCTAATATTGTTGTTCCCCAAGGTTGTGGTGTAAATCACTTTACTTTGTATTTCATCTGTAGTACATCTTCAGTCTCCATTTTTCCTGTATAATTCTTCTATAGACAATCTCTGGCATGCAGGAAAACTTCATGCTGCCAATTGCTTCTCGTGTATATAATATAATTTTGAATATATGCAGTTGAATTCCTTTTTCCCCAAGTCTTAGTCAGGTTTTCTGATTTCCCTGATGCTGTTTCTTCCTTCAGTGTGTGTGCCCTTCCTGCTGCGGTAGCAAATGTTTCTTTCCCAAAATAATTCTCATGGCAATTTCTATTACTCCTCACTGCTTTTTCAATAGGTAGACCTGGCAACTAGGCTGAATGGATCAACAGTTGCTACTGAAGGACAAGGGGCAATGTGCATGCTGAAAGAAAAGAAATTAGATTTAAACCTAAGAAAAAGGGGTTTTTTTTTGTTGTTGTTGGGACTGAGCACTGGTTGAACACTGAACAGTTCTCCCGGGGGAGGGGATGGAGTCTCTGTCCTTGGAGGTATTTAAATCCTGGCCCAAAGCAACATGCTTGAGCTGACCCTGCCCTGAGCAGGGAGCTTGGATAGGATGACATTCAGAGTCCCTTCCCACCCCAGACATTTTCTGAATCTATGAAATGAACTGGTTTGTCTTACCTGCAGGTCACTTCAAGACCACCACATCTTGTCGTTTCTTTGTACCAAGTTACACAATGAGGCAAGTTCTAGTAATTCTTTCCTCCCCATCTTTTTACCATTTTCTCCCCCAAAAATTCAAAAGAAAACCCTGATCAACCTTTCAAATCTTTGACCATATTTCACAAGTCTTCAGAAAGATACCTTCCTACCTGTGTTCCAGATATATTCAACTTTCCTTTTCAGGCTTTACTATAACAAATCATGGCTGAGAAAAGATGTGTTCAAGACTTGTTGCACAGAGGATTAGTTTAATATAAATAAAGATTTTACCTGGGGTAAAATATGTTTTTCCAAACCATCCTGTTAGGATTTAAAAGGAGAATGAGGTAGCATAAAAAATGGTAGCTCTTCAGTGCAAGAGGTTTGCAGATTATCTCTTTCATGACTGTAACTCTGTGTTTTGCACCTGACTTTCTGTTGGAATGAATGAGCTAATAAAGACCTAAATTTCCCAATTTGGATAAAACCAAACCTATGAATAATGAAATATACATAGTGGTATAACATTCAACTAGCATTCTCAATCAAACAAAAGACATTTCTTAGAAAACTGTCAACCCACTAAGAAAACCATCTTGTGAGACAGAACGGGAGTGCTGGATGAAATCATAACCCCAGTGTCTTGAGGTACATAAACATAAATTGGAAGCCCATTCCAAACTCTGTTCCTTCTTTTATTTTTTAAACACAGTGCGAAATTTTGTTGTTCTTAGCCTTTCTTTCAGTCTTACAATTTGGCTTAATAAATAGCACTCTCAACAACAGTGCTTTTATTACTGTATTTTATGGCTGTAGAAAAGCTTATCATAGTCATACACTACTTCAGTTATCTTACTGGTAAGCACTTCATGTGATTGCTTGTGCTGTGAGGTCTCACCCTACTAATACCTGTGATTATAAACCTTGCACACAACGTGTTCCACCTAAAAGTAAATTAGGGGGATAAAAAAAAAATCTTCAATATCATTTGTTTGTTCTATATGCAGCTTGTTTGTGCTATTTGCAACTTTTTGTTTTCTTTTTAAACTGAATGAAAAATGCTCACACTGCAACAGACTAGTTTGGAGTACAGTGCCAATACTTGATGTAAAATTAATCTGAAATAAGTTTTGGAGAGTTTGCACCATATTACTTTCATTTTGATGGAAAGGGATTCATCACCATAGAGCTCCTTTATGTTTGCCTGCACTACTTATAAACACGGTGCACGGTGTTTTAATGGCATGGTAGCTAAAGCTGCATTTAGGCATTCCTTGTCTTTCAGGAACGGAACTTGCTGCTTTACTTGGGGATACCTTTCCTTCTTATTTGTTCTTCTCGGCCTTTTAAAATTCATTTGGTTTGCCTCCTGTGTTACTATAGTTGTACAGGTTTCTTGAATCTGGTGTTGGTATCCAGGACCTTTCGCATTCCAATGCTGAGTCAGTGCTAGAAGAGGTAATTGTACATTTCTTCCTCTGCCCTCTGTTGGTTTAGGATCCTTTTCTCATTCTTTATACCTGTAACAAATTATTTCATATACTACCTCATATATCTGATGTAGCTTGTCACCATCTTCAAAGAAAGCAGCTCAGTCCTGCTTTGGATTAAAAAAAAATAATATAATTGTCTAAAAAATAACAGTGGAGTTTTAATCACAATTGAATAAATAAGTTGCAACTACCTTGTCATAAACAAGTCTTTCAAAGATTACATTTCAACAGAAAGCATGTTATAACTCAGCTGCACTTTGCATTGTGTTCTGTATTACATCATAAGTGAGTTATTTTTCTCTTTGTTTCCAGCTTCTGAAATTGGCAGGCCTATTTTCACAGCTACTTTGTTAAAAAAGTTGGCAAAGATAACATTAAAAACAACAAAACACAGCACTGTATCTGATAGTGTGGACTAATGGATATGTGCACATTACATACATAGTGAAAAGTAGTTTCAAAGTACTGATTTTTCTACATATATTTTCCATGCATCTCTCATAGTTCAGTTTCCCCCCACCCTCCCTGTTTTTATCCTTATGAATTCACAAAACATTTCAGTCTTAGTTGAATTAAAAATGAAACACTCTAAGGGGCAGTGCTCCCTCAGGTATATATGAATATGAGGCACTGCAAACATTTGTTGGTATTAAATCTTGGAACATTTCCTCAATGTATCTGATTTCCTGGAGGAATTTTTCATGAAATTTGGGGGGAAAGACAGATTTGCAATTAAAAAAAAAAAGGTGAAGTTAGAGTGAATTGTGGTTAAGTCACAATAGGAGATCCTTCTATTATACCCAGCTTTTTAAATAAGTAGGGTTTATGTAGGCATTTTTATAGATTCAAAGTTGTAATAAGCTTTTTTTTTTTCTTGAGGCCCCATTTTTTTAAAATGTGTTATATTTTAAATATTGTCATATTTAAATGAGGTTTCATGAAAATTTAGCTAGTTTTATTTACTGTTTAATAAAAAAGGAGTTGGGAAGTTTCTTCTGTGTTGTGTTTCATTACCTTATTTTTTGGAAAACTGGATACTCAAAAGTGTTACTTAAATTTATTGGTTTCTGTTGTTTAAAATTGAAATATTTTGTTTAGCATTCTTTTCCTTTCTGAAAACATTTCTAATATTTATCTCTGGGATTACTAATGCTGTGGATGTGATGAATACCTGTGTAATGGTGACTGTCTTGTCACTTGCCCTTATGTAACTTCAGTTAGCCTTGTCATCTCCTCCTCTCTTTTCTTCATCCAGTACACGCAGCTCTCCTTTGAAAATGGCAACTTCTGTTCCTTTTGGAGTGTTTGATTCTTTGAATCTTGTTTTCATGAGTATTTGAAAGTGATTCTTAACACTGGAGTATTGCTTTCTTGTTCTTTGTAGTGATTCAGATGGAGTTTCTATGTCTGGTGTCTGTTTCACTTTTCTTCAAAGGATAGGTTGCTTAACCACTAGTATGTCTTATCTGTTTAACTCTTGAAAGGCTCTAAATAATATTGAAAGTAATACTGTGCTTGTATTCTTGTTCCTTTATTCACCTGGAGGAAGTACTCTTAAGAAACAACATATGTATTGTAATCCTTAAAAAGTATTATATAAAGCAGGAGGTTCCAAAACACAAAAAAAACCCCCAAAAAGGTATTTGAAGGTTAAGTTCATATGATATGAAAGTATGAAGAAACATTGCTGAAAATAAAGTTCATCCTATTTACAGAATTGAATTTGTCTGCTGTTTGTGATTGTTTTATACAGAATGTAAGTGCTTCATAGCTTCCATGGTTTTTTTTTAGGAAGAACAGAATCGAGGCAAGCCCAACTGGGAACACCTGAATGAAGATTTACATGTACTTATCACTGTGGAGGATGCTCAAAACAGAGCAGAAATAAAGCTGAAGAGGGCTGTTGAAGAAGTAAAAAAGTTACTGATACCTGCAGTAAGTATTTGTATGCAAGCCTTTGATTTCTGTTTTCAGAAGGTACTTTTGAAATACTTTTTGAACTACAACTGATTTGCTACAGGTGTAAGAGTAAGCCTGCAGAGTGGCATCCTAAAAGGTAGTTGAGATACTATTTTGTAATACTCTAGTGGTCTTTAAACTGCCTCATCCCAGATTGAATTATTCCTTAGAAGAGAATAGAGAGAGACTTTTTTTAAAGCGACTTCTTTTTTTTTTTTGTCTGAGATACAGATACGGGAAATAGTTATCACCTTTAAAAGGCAATGCTGGACTGTTACAAACACTACTTTTCTCTCTTTCCTTCAGTGTTAGTATTCTTCACTTTAAGGCTGGGGAAGTATGACATGCTTTTAAGTTTCACTTTGAGATGATTCTGATACTTTGAGCAACAAAGGCATGTTTTTTTAGATCATCACATTAAACATTTTGCAAAGAGAACAAAACCCTTTAGTATCAAAAAACTTTGCTGTCAGTATACTGGGGGAAAAATAAAACTAGTAAAACAGGAAAATGGTTGTCTTTCTCATTTCCTGATAGTATAAACTGGGTTCTGAACATCTAGATGACTTAAATACTTTTTCAGAGACCAGAATTACCCTGTGAGAGCCCTTCTCTTATATCTTCTCTGTATTCTCACTCAAAGCAAGGTCACTCAAGTGTGGCTGCATAGCACATCCCATGCCATTTACTTGTATCTTGTGCTCATCTTTACCACCACTTTTATGCCCCTGTAAAATTATAAGAATAAATTAGATATTTTTCTGTGGTGGAAAAATGTTCCATATTAGAAGGAAAATTGAGACTACCTTGTGAACGAAAGTAGTAGGTGGTATTAAAATGACCTACTGATTTTGGTTACTTAGAGAATGCTAATAGATGCTGGCTGTGAGGAAACTTGAGGTGACACATGCTGTCTCTATAAGCAGATTTATTCAGAAGACATTTTTAGAAATTACTAAAGATAGGGAGAGAGACTTAATTTCTGAATTACCAAAAAATGGTAGAATATTAAGCAGGAGGTACAAAAATAGTGATTTAGATCTCTTGGCATTGCACATTGTCAATTTCTGAAAGCAGCAGACTAGAGAAAGTAGATCTTCAGAATTTACTTACTTACTAAATAGGCCTTGAGCACATTAGGCTTGAGTTTATACCCAGGATTTTTATATGGGCAAAATTTGTAACCCTTGTGTTCATTCTTTAGCTCCTACAGAGCTAAAGTTTAGAAACACAAACTTCTGTGTGAATTGATTTTGTCGGGTTCATTCTTCTACCTCCCCCTTATTGCTGACTAATACGACGGAAGGGTCAACTTCAGGATGATAGGTTACAAACCCCCAGTATGTCAGAAGTACTGCTGTGTATACTCTGTGTGTGTTTGTGTTATGTTGGTGTTGTTTAGCAGTGGGATGGGTGTGTTCTGAGCCTCAAAAAATGTGATTGTTAGTAGTTCTTTCATAGTGACAGCCAGCTCTTTGTCTTGAAAGCACTCTACCTCATGTAGTAGCTTAATCAATTGGGGAAGCACTGTAATCCTGATGGCAAAAATAATTGTTTTTCCCCTTTAATGAAAAATAACAACACCGGGCTAAGTATTGTCCGAATAGAACATCACTTGAAATACGCTTTGTCAGTTCACTTCATTATCATCTTTATGTATTATGCATAGGCATAAGAGATTTGGGTGGTACATATTACTTGCATAAGAGTTAAAGGTCTGTTGGCTCTAATTTCTCAAAATTATGCCTTGCTGGAACAGGTCTGTGTAGTACATACTAATGAATTAGTATGGAGGTGAACTTGGGTTTGTACTATCTATTGCATCTGTTCAATTAGTATAAAAAATGGAATTGTGGCTTCAGGCAGTTTGAGAGCTGAAAAATTCAGTTTAGCGTTAAAAGATAGGAATTGAAAACTTCTATGAGGGAAGTCATAAACCTTCAAGTAATCAGGGTAAACATATGGAAAAAAGGGAAATCCTAGTGAATTGCAACAATAGGAGTGAAACTGTGGCTGTTGGAAGATTCCAAAGATACTCTAAAATATAAGAATGGAAAAAGTAAAATTCCCTTTCATATGGTAGTATACCTGCAACTATTAATGTTTTCAGATAAATGTCAAAGGATTAAATTGGAAAAAAAAGTTACGTGTTTCTATTCTGTCGCTGTCCATCTTGATTAAAATTTTAGACTATGTAGGAGAGAAGACTCATTCATACAATGTGACAATGCTTTGGGTTTGTGAGATAAATTTCAGAAACATGTTAGTGTTCCAGTATTCAGAGATGGAAATTAGTTGCTAATTTTTTGGAATGATCAGTTATTTTTTGTACTCAAGATGTTAAAAAGCCTAATTACATTTTCTATCAACAGTGCAGAAATAGGCACATCTCTTAAAGTAGATTTCTATTTGAATGTACTTGGTTGAACAGAGCCTATTTCACTAAATACTAAAGTGTGTTTCTTACATTTATAAATCTGGATCATTACTGATTTTTTTTTCCCCTTGTGGATATGAATTAATATTTTCCCATTTCACTTTCTCTTGCATTTTACCAAGATAGTGATATAGTCAAGTAGTTTATCTTTAGAAATGAGAAGCACAACTTGGGGAAGATTGGCTGAACAAGCCATTTTTTTCTCCTTGAGGAGAAAGGCCAACATTTTTTTTCATTATTACTCATTTGTGTTTAATTTACATTTCTTCAGTATGAATCAGTTTTTTAAACATTTTTGGCTGTACTTCAAGTTCCATAGGATTAATTTTTTTCCTCTTCCCATAGCGCAGTGAGGTACTGGTCTTTATCTACACCTGCAATATCATACAGTATTACTTCTTTTATGTTTTTCTTCAAAAAAGGGGGAATTAATAAAGCAGTCTGCAGATTTTTGGGATCACATCAAGTTGTACTGTCCTTTTGCCTCCTTCTGAAGTGAATCCTCCAGATCATTGATTTCTCTTTATTGTGGGAGCTTTGAGAGTTGTTTATTATTTGCATGAGTTAAGTGAGGATGGGTGGTTCTCTTGCAAAGGAAGGGCAAAAAGATGCTGTGGATCAATTGTTCACTGCAGAACAGAAGAAAAAGCTCAGAACCTGGTTCGGAGGCATACATAATAAAGAAGTATAGCATACCAAACCAGATCATCATTAAGGGTTTGAAGTTGTTCTTGGAGCTCCTGGGCTGTAGGGGTGAACTCCTCTGCCAGAAATGTTAAAACTCCAGCGTTTTCTAAGAAGTGTTGAATAAATGTTTCTAGCTGAGTGAGTTTATCTAGATATTCCTTGCATTTTACAGATGACCAGGTCTTGTTTAATTGTTAATTCACATTTATACTAGCTGCTTTTGTAAGGGATGAGGCGCATGTGACCGAATTCAAATTACAGACAGATACTTTTTACCTCTTTTTTTCTTTCAATTCAACCTGGTTAATTTCTGAGGAATAGATTGTATTTCTGGTTTCTACTTAGCTATTCTAAGTTGGTCTGGAATCAGTGTTGTTCAGATTTTTTTATTGCTTTTCTTATGCTGGGGCAGCTGTAGTTTTACTTGGTTGCTGCCTCCATCATCTTGGAAGAGAACTACAACACAGAATTATTCAGTGATGCTCCCTGTCAAACTTTGTATACCATTTGTCAGTACTATGTAGAATTTTGCAGTTGTGATGGGTAGGAGATAATGTTTCAATAGAAGCTTGTTTCATTTTGCTCCTATTTTTGGATCTTTCCTGTAAAAGTGATTTGAGATTTTTCAGTCCTGAATATGTTTAAATTTAGCTGAATGGGAAAGTAAATGTGCTGTATACAGCATGATTTTTACAAATTGGAACATTTTTTTTATAGTGGTGCTTGGTATGTACCCATTCACTAACTGTCCTCCTTCTGTTTAGTCCCTGTTACCAGAGATGTTATTTTGATGGTGTTTCTGGTTTCAGTCACACCTATATACAGCACATTTTCTTTATATAACAGGAAGGGAGTATTATGAAGGGGCAATAGTACTGGTAGAGTGGTTTATTTTTCAGTTGAATAAGCTAAAAGCATTTCTTTCTAAAAGATTGCTTTCAGCAAGCTTGATGAGGTGGGGCTTGTTTATTAGTTAAATGGATTTCTAATACTTTCCTTATAGGTGTGGTTGTAAATTTTCCTTATGGTTTATTTTCAGCTACTTAGGGTAAACTGAAGGATGTCTTAATTTTTACCCTGGGAACTCTGTGTGCTGTGAATTCCAACACAAAATACTGAGAAAAAAATTAATTTAAGAATGTTTGACCATATTTTAGCCTTAGTTAAAAAAAAAAAAACCATAGTTAATATAGTAATGCTCTACATAATTTTTTTCTCTGTAATTAAGATTAGCAAAATCTTGGTATTTGAAAGATATTAGGAGAAGATTTCATTTTTTTATTAGCCATCTAAAAAGCCACAATAAATTCTGCATGCAAGTTTGACTTCCTTGAATAGCTGTTTCTAATTCATTCCTGCATGGTGTGTTGGTTTTACATTTTTGCTTTCACAAGTGAGAATACAATGCTGCCTTGCATTGTTTCCCTGTTGAAATGTTGGTCATGCTGTGCAATCCATTGTTTGCTGCTTATTCAGTTCAAGTAATGAAATTAATAAATGATACAGTAGCAGCAAAAGGATACTGCTGTCCTTAAGAGCGTTTTAGGAAATTCCTACGTTCTGCCTGTTTTGTCAGTTTCAATACAAGTCTCTCAGGGTGAATGATCAGACAGGAAGCTCTGCACGAAGGGCAGCAAAGCAGCCAAATGTCTTGGCAGTGAGCACTGGATAACATGGTAAACTTTTTGATGTGGGGGAGAGGTGATAGTGCATTATTTTTAGTAGCATGAAGCGGGCTTAATGTTTCCATGGCTGGAAGATCTGAGCACTGCTGCAGTCCTGCCATTCCTTCATGATTTGCTGTTCCTGCTTCCTGTTTCTCATCAGAAATCCCTGGTCTTCATCTGAGGGTGTGGTGAGTCCATTTGGTGGAGAGCTGAACCTCATTGAAGGACTTGCTACAGAGTCAGGCCTGGTTTAGCACTGACAGAATTGATGGCATGAGAACAGGCAGACAGGGAAAAATAGTACTGCAGCAGATCACCCTGAAATAAATTTCTGTGAATATGTTCACCTGCAAATAGCATGAGAGTAAAATATCCTGCTACAGTGAATTTCTGATTGTGGCAGTGAAAAACAATAGAAGATTGTAAGCGTTCCTGTGTGTGTTCCACTGTCCAGTATGTCTAGTCTGTCATGCAAGTCTGAGTTTTAAAAATGAGAACACGAACTTCTTACACCAATTCACAATAGGAAGTGTTTACATATTGTACTTGATATGTCACTGCAGTGTTCACTTTTTATGTTTACATTTATATTAATGAAATTATTTTGGGTCAGCTGCAATTGAAAAGTAGCTCTATGCATCATTTTGTACAGTGGTGAAAACTCTGTAGACTAGTGGTTCATTACCACCAAAATAGTATCTGTTAAATGGAAATGGTTTTTTGAGACCATATTTACTGCAACATCTCGATGATTTTCAGCTGAATTTGAAGTAAATCTAGTTTAAATTTTATTACATTTGTTAACTCCTCTGAAGTGATTGTCATAGTACAAATGAGAAAATTACAATTGTTCATCAGAATATTGTTCAGGGTGACAGAGCATTGGAACAGGCTGCCCAGAGAGGTTGTGTAGTCTCCTTCTCTGGAGGTATTTAAAACCCACCTGGAACTTGTTCTGGGGTGAGGATTAGATTGTCTCTTGAGGTCCCTTCCAAGCACAGTCATTCTGTTATTCATGATGGGAATAATTTTGAAAAGAGATAGAAAAACGTGCTGTTTGTATTATGATTATAAATTTGTTTTCAACTTTCCATTTTTAGAAAGTTGACAAATAATGAAATGGTAAGTATAAAATTATGATGATCTGTGCCCTTGCATGTTTCAGTTGATTGTTTTACAAATTTGGACATAAAGTCATGATCAACTATAAATATGTAAATATGTCTAGTTTTATTAGTTTATAATTTAGGTAGCAGTTTGTAGGGATTCTTTTTCCATCTAGGTTTTTCCTATACTAATGGAAGAAAGAAGGTTCTCCAGCACTTACTTCTAAGCACCTTAATCCAGGTGTTTACTCTGAATCTTCTGGACATCTTTGATGGCTTCTAGAACCCAAGGAAATTAGTTAGTTGTGCCTACATACAGTTACTGTTGAATACCCTCTCTTTTCCCATTTTTCTTCTTCTCCATCACTCTCTGCCTTTGTTTATTTAAGGTGTTAAAAATTTATAACTTGAGAAATGGTAGATCGGTTTTTGGAAAAGATCCTGGGAAACTTAGGAAATAGTCTCTTCTCAAAGAGAAACAAAGACACTCTGTTGCCTGCAACTCAGTAGGGATATGCCCTCCCAAGTGGGGATTATGCATGGATTCGGAGCTCTGATTATGTTCTGCATGGATTTTGTCCGTCTTCCAGAAATGTGCCTAATCTACTAGGTTTTTTGGTAGACATAATTACGGAAGAAAAAATGGCATTGACCTATTCTGGTAATTTTTGTAGTACCTGTAACTTTTTAAATTTTCATCCCATTTTATAATTTGCTTCCTTCAGTCTTGGCTGTTTTCCCAGTGCTTCTTCTAGTCATTTTTTCTTCTTTTTATTTCTTCTTCCATACTTTTTTTTCCTTTTAGAATTGTGATTCCTGGAGACATACAGTGTAAAGAGTAGGAATTTGTTACCTTGCACTTTTAACGTGTTGTAACACTTATCATTAGCCGGACTGTATTAAGGTCAGATCACTTCATGTCTGAGTCACTTTGGAGTGGTTTCTGGAAGGATCTTAGCAGTTGCAAAGATTTTTGTGTGAAACAATAGTAAAGTAATGAGTAAATACTTCTCTTTTCCAGCCATTTAAAGCATTCTTTATTGCCAGTGTTAGTTTTGAAATCTAGATTTCTAATTATACAGAAGTTAAGTTTGTCGTACAGATATCTATGGTTTAATGCTGACTGATGACTTACAATCTAGTTGCTCTACATGGTTCTATTTTGACATCAGACAGAAAGTTCTAACCTGTGGGAAAGTGCCAAGAGTCTTTGGTCTACTATTCAATAGAAAACTTAAGTGTTTCTATTTTTAAACAGTTCAGAAATACTTGAGCTTTCAGTGGGAGGAGTAATATGGTTTCTTTTTCTTTCATAGATTGTTTATAGGCTAAGACTTTAATACAGGAGTGTTATAGATACTGTTGGCAGGATAAACATGGGTGGGCATGATATGAGATTGGATCTAATTATGTTAAATAACTTATATGATTTTGGAACTAGGCCATTTGTAACATACTTACTGTTAAATTGGAGAGTGGTAAAACATCCTGTAAAGTGATTAGCTTAGATCTTACTGGAAATTTGCATTGCTTGGAAAATAGTTAATAAGGAAAAGTATTTAAGATTCCATCAAGTAGCCTATTACATTTCTTGTGTGTTGTTGGAAGTGGTATGGATTTTATAAATTTTTTATCTTACATCTTCTATATTTAAATAAGCATTTTCAAAGCTCTACCTTATTTTCAAACTTACTTTATTAATAGGGATAGCTTAATGAAAACAGCATTGCTTTCTATATTTTCAGCATTACCATTATTAGCTAATTTTTAATGTTTTCACAACATCTCTATATGTAGTAAATTATGTTCATCAGTTTGAACTTTTGTTGTCAAGTCAAATGTGTTTTATATTCCAAATCATTTGGAAATACTGGATTGAAGAAACTTCAACACCAGCAAATCTAGTGAAGTCAGAGGTCTCTAGTATTGTATCCAGTTCTGTGATATTGCACCTTTTTATAAATGGATTGGAAGATGTGAGGTTTTCTATTTGACCAAATACAGCTGTAGATACTAAGAATTTCAGCTGCTTTATTTATAAATAAATAATTCTAGCCTTTGATAGATACTTTGCTACAGCCTCCAAAATTGTACATTACCTTACAAATCCTTTTTCATGAGACTGAAAAGAATCAAAGCCCCAAAGCCACCATTTGGAGTTGGCTGTCTTATGATCATTTGAAGCAGTTTTCATGAAGAGTAATTTTCAGTCATGTAATTGCATGCATTGCTGTGCCCTCATCTTAAAATGTTTGAGTCCTTCATTCTCTAGCTTGTGTTCTAGCTTGAAAATGGAATTTTAACTTAGACTACCCTGACTTTCTTGGCAGCTATAGTAACTATACTGATACAATTGTACTAAAGCAGGCGAATGACACATCAGGAAATGGAACTAAGATGTGGAGTGGGGATTTGTCAAATGTGCACATGGGTACTTGGGTGCCTTGGTAGTGGAAGTGGGCAATTCCAATTCCTTGCTCAGCCTTTTGACTGTGGTCTTGTCTGCTATTCTGAGGTTTCAGTTTTTAATAAGCAGATCTGTAGCTTCTAGGGTCCTAAAGGAAAGTTTGGAAGTTCTAAAATAAAGCTTGCTTACTTAGTTTGTTAGAACTAACAGTCAAAGTCATTACTGTCAACAGACATCAGATGTTTTGAATAATAAAATTGTTACATATTGTGCAGAAAGGCAGTATGTCAGAGTCTAACTTGGAAGACAAGTTCGGAAAGACCAAGGGAGCTAAGAGGTGTGTGGATTTCTCCTGGTTTAAATCCACTGTAGTATGTATGGTAATACTATGTTATTGTGCTAATCTGATTTGTCAGTTAATGGTATCCTGGCATTCGGAACAGATAGACTACTGATACAGTGTTGGGAAGATCACTGTTTTTTCATAGTGCCTGCAAGAGCAAAGCCTGTATTTGCCTAATTTCACTAGTTATTTCTGAAATTAATGGTTAATTTCCAAAGAAAGTGGTTGCGCTGTGGAGGGAGACTCCCTTAGTGATCCTTGCCATATCAACTCCTCTCCTGTTGGATGGTGGAGAACTCTTCAAAGAGTTACTTTATTATTCATCAGCAAGGAGAACTTCAGGAAATCTCTTAATAATCCAAAAGTCAATCAGATTCAAGAAAGTTAAACATAAAAAAATCAGGCTTTTAAAATACATCAGGTCATAGAAACACTTGTTTTCTCCTGTGATAGCAAGGGTACTTTAAATAATAAACCTTAACTTTTTAATCTGTAAAATGTGGTGAGAGTACCCCTCTGTTTTTTTTAAATACTCCAAGAGGCAAATCTTTACTTAACAATAAATATGGGAGAGGTCATTTACTGAAATGCTCTTTCTTTTGTAGTAATCTGTAGTTTTAGAAGTGGCTCTTGGAGATAGAAGAATGAGCAAAGTTTTTATTATCCTGTAGGATTAGAGATTGCAGGGGACACTCTGAAGGTTCTTGGTGTTCATAAAATGTTGTGCTAATAAGTGGTTTCATTTATTTTAGTTTAGAATCAATTCAAAATAATTTTTTGTGTGTGTGTTGCATAAACCCAAATTCTGTGTATTGCCAAAATATTTTTGTGGAGGAACTTCTTTAATGTTATATGTATGTATCTTCATCTGTGTTGCCTTTGTGCTACAGGTAAACTAGGCATTAAATTATGTCTTGCCTTCCTTACAAAGTAAACAGGAAGTTTAGCAGTTGTGCAGAATCAAATAGGAGTCCTGTTCAACTGGACAGCCTTAAAGGAACTCCACCAGTATCAAATGAGAAAATGTCATCCCTTGTTTCCATGTAAATCATTCTGCAGTGCTTGGAAAACAAAGTGAAGCATGTAAGACACTAAAGCTGACAAATAGCACAATTTATTCTTATTATGTCATGCTTTATATTTGATGTGTTTTACAGCATTTAAAAGCAATCTGTTTGTACAATTTCAACATAGAGATGTTAGTAGTTTTTAATAATACTTTTTTCCCACTACTGTCTGTAGGATTTTTTTAAAAGATCCTATGTGGCTTCAGTAACAAGATCCCATTAAGATTCATACTATTTTGTACATCTGAAGTGTACAGACTCTTCTAAAAATCTTACTCTAAGTTACTTCTAAGAACTTGAAAGATGCACAATTGTGTGCATTCGTGGTTTATGTTTGAAATCTGCAAATTGATTTTTACTCTAATTGGCTTGGAAGCTTTAGAAATCTTTGCTAAGACGACATCCATGATGATGTAATTGCGACATAATCCCCAGCATACTTTGGTGTTGGTTTTATTTATTTCAGTTTAGTCAATTTACTTCAAATGTGAATCACACATAGTCTTTCAGCCGAATATTAAAGTTCAGGGGAATTCAGGAAGAATATATGATTCCACATTATTTAATGTAAAGCACATGTAATTTAAGGCATGGCTTCCCTTTCTAGGTTCAGCAAACTCTGATGGAAGTGTGTCTAGTAGAATCATGAGGGGGAAATGCAAATAAATTCTTTTGGTGTTTTCATATCAAATATTTCGGGGTTTTTTTTAACAAGCTTTGCTTTTTATTTTCATTTAATTCACAGAAATGTCCAAATAGAATCCTGTTTAATTAAAACAGTTTATTAGCAAGAAACCTTAATTGGCGTAAGAAAGTAAACTTGTGACATTTTGGCTTCTCCAAATAGCTTGTATTTCTAGGCAAGCTTATGTAAAGAGTAGAAAAATTAAGTTTTTTCTTCAAAATATCAGCCTGTTACTTATGATTAAAAAAAATAATTCCAGAAAAAAAATAGTTTGATAGTTGTATTTCTAGAAATGAAATGTCTCCATATTGCTCTAAAAGATTAGCATTAATAGCAAATGTTACCAATCCAGACAAGTAAATATTACAGTTAAAAGCATAAAAGTAAGGGTTTAGTGTGGATTCTGGGGGAATTTTTTCTCCAAATTATCTTATAAGTGCCTCTCTATACAGTTACCTTCTCACTTTACTGTTGTGGCATCCTTTAGATTTTGGACTAATTAGACCAGTTCTTTTTCTGGCTTTGACCTTAGGGTTATGTCTATACTCCCTTAACTTTGTCAGGATTCTTTTTGTGTTTCTGGTGATTAAAGTTTCTTTTTCTCAAAAGCATGTACATGTGTTGCATTTATGGCAGTTCTCACAGTATCTGTCCTGTCTGCCACATAACCCAGATTTCTGAGAGACCAAAAAAGGCACCATCCAGAAAGTGGGGTTAGAGAGTTTTTCCATGTAGTTTCTTGGAAAAGGGAGGTTGGTGCATGTGTCTGTGCCTCCATTTGTGTCAGTATTCGTTGATTCAGAAGTATAAATAGATCTGATGATGATTTAAGTCTCAGTTCTGCTTCCTACGAGAAGTACTTAGCGCAGTGCAAAGCTCTTCTTTTCTCTTGATACCTGAAGTGCAGCATCTTAGGGGTGCGTGGTTCTCATGTCCTTTTCTTTTTGTAGATGCAAGTTCTGCAAAAGGGAGAAAAATCTATTAAACCCAGAGTATCATCCTGCTTGGAGAGACTCTTGAAATCCTGAAGGATCTGATACAAGTGAAATTGCTTCTCATCTCAGTAGTGATGACCTTACTCCAGAACAGTTCTTTGTTTCATTAATTTATCCACACTTGCTTTCAGAAGTATAGGAAACTACTTCCAAAACTGCTTCTGTAAACTCCCCACCAAATTTCCACAATATTTTTTTCTGTGTTGCCTTATTTAAAATACATTCCTTTCAGCAAAGCATAGCAACTGGTATTTCTGAATCCTTGATGAGTCTTGCAGCCTTCTCTGTAAGATGTTTTGGGAGAAGAATTCATAAAATTGTGTATGAACCAGTCTGTCACTCAGGTGTCTGTAGTTAACATCCAGAGCTCACACTCAACAGTTTTATGTATTGATTTGCACAAGAACTTGTGCTGTGTTATTTGCTGGCTATCTTTAGATAAACTAGTTGGATTTTTTTATTCTTCCTCTCCCCAGTAAGACTGTGACAGTATGTTGTCTCTTAGACAGTTGAAATAGGAGCTTCCAAAAGGCTTAAAACTGGCGATATACAGTTGATAATAATGGTGACTTGAACCTTTTACTGAATTATTTCATAATCAAAACCAAAGCAAAACCAATTTTTTGTTGTTCTCTGGTGGCTCATGGGGTAGACAAAAAAAGCAAAGGAAGAAACTTATTGCAATCCAAAATATGAAGCCATATAGAGATTTCAGATGCTTCCCAGATGGGCTAATGAACTGTTTTCAAATGGCAAAGCAAGATAAAGAAGCATGGGGGTAGTCTGTGTTTCTACCATCACAGAAAAGCAAAGGAGCTTCTTTCTATTTGTAAACTGCCAAATGCAAGTGGATAGTACAGTCTTAAACCTGAAAAAAATTACCAGAAACCTCAAAATGAAAATTATTATTTTGTCCTTTTTAAAGGGTTAGTAATAACACCAAGAAATAATTCTTATTTAAGTGGAGATGACTGATACTTCTATCACTGAAATTTGACGTTGAACTGTTCTTGGGGTAGGATAGGAGAAGCACTCATTTCTCTGTAGAATTTGTGGAGTATTTGGGACCATACTGCTTTTAATATGCATAGGTGGTGTCTCACATGTAATACACTAATACCTTTACACTGTATCTGCAATGTAAGATGCATTGAATGTTCTACAGGCATATGAAGACCTTATCTAGTACACCAGTAGGCACTTAATTTAAAAATTAATAGAGTTGGCAAGTATAATATATGGGTAGGCATAATTAATGCATCATATGGTTTTATGTCAAATGCTTCTTACATCTCAGATTAAAGTACATTGTTAGATTGTTTGTATCTGTTGTTTGGTACTAGTCCTGACTTCACCAGTGTTATAAATGAAAATTTTTCCAGCCAAATTAATATAAAAAATAAAATACTTATTTTGCAATCAAATTTTATCTAGCCAGCCACAAGGAAAGAACAGAGCCGAGCCCGGGGTCGGCCCTGGGTGTGCAACAAGGAGTCAGCCTCAGCAGAGGTTTTCCTCCATGCCCACACACTTCCATCCTGGCACAAGCGAGTTTTATAGGGAAAATTCCGCCTGAGGCCAGGATTTTTGCAATCGGTCCTTTTTGAAGGAATGAATTGAATAATTTGAATGAATTAATTTCATTTGAGAGGTGACTTAAGTACCTTCAGTAGTCGACACGGTGAAGTTAGTGGTTGTCTCCTTCGCTGTCATTCCGCTGGTTTTTTGCCTTCCTCGGTGTTTGTTCTGCAAGGCTTAGTGGATAGGAGATGCTTTGTCTCCGAGCCTGTCTTGTAAAAAGCCGTGATGCGAGAGCGCATCCCTTCCCGTGCACAAAGGTGCTGCTGCTGCTCTCTGCCGAGCACAGCCATTTCAATCTGAACGGGGGATCTGTCTGGGGACCGCGTACAGTAATTAGCAGTCTCTTCAGAGTGTCAGAGCAGAATTACCATTGTAATGCTTTAGCAGGAGGATAAAAGGATTGAATTTGGGTCTGCCTTCCTGCCAAACTAAATGAGTTGCCATGGGAATTTTCAAATATAAGAGGCGTTTACTTAAAGCAATTTGGTGAGTTTGAATAAACTCATAAATTACGGGGTTTAGAGGAGAGATCCCTGCTTTCTCTGGCATGGGCTGAACAGCAAAGAAGGCTGTTGGAAAGCTGCTTACCTTCTTAATGAGAATAAGTTGATCCATGCTCCCTTGCAGAGTGTCAGCTTATTGAGGCTAAACTGTTTCTGCTAAACACAGTACAGTAAGCACATTTTGACAGACATAGTTTGCAGCAAATCCCCGAAGTAAAAAGCAACATCTGATTGCTCTAAACATAAATTGAATTTCATTTGCTAGATTAGATCTATTTTCAAGTAATGCTATTAAAAATTGTTCTCCGTATTGTTTCAATAAGCATTAACCTACTATTGATTTCAACTTTCCTCTGTGCATGTAATATTTATTACAACACTTGTCAGATCTGCTTCTGAAAGGGGAGGGAGGTCATTGAGGTTTCTTTCGAAAACAAATAAGGTCCTATGGCCCTTCAAACTGTTTTTTTATCTCGGGTCACATGTAAATGTTTTCCCAGCTCAGGCCTGCCTGCCTTCTCTCTAAAGGGAGTTGGGCTTTGACCCGCTGACTTCTTTGTCAGCACCGATGCTATTGAAATGTGAGAAGATGGACTTGGTGCTTTCACAAGTGCCTCGAGTGATGAACATCACTTATGCTTGTTTAACCTTCAGCTGTGCTCCACAAGTCAGCTGTAGTAGGCTGCGGAAGAACTGACTGCCGGCTTGTTCGGAAGCATGTGTTAATGTTCTCCCGGCCACTTAGGTCGGGGGACTTGAAGAAATACGAACAATTAGACGCGCTTGAATACTTTGGTGCTAGCTTTAAACGTGTATACTCAAGGACATGCCATACTTGAAACACTATGCAGAGTTTTTCCCAAAATAATTGATATCGGATATATAGCTTAAGGCTTAAATGTTGCCTTGTGATCCTTTCTAGGGCATATCTCAAATCTTTACACATCATAAGTATTGGGATATGGAAGTGGAACTCATTAAAAAGAGAGCAGTACTGCCGTAATGGCAGTAATTTTAACTTTCGTTTCAAGCCATAAAAATACGTTTTGAACTCCTTGATATAATCTTACATCACTAGCAGGAATCCTGTAAATTAGCAAAGGAAAAGAGTAAATTTGTGCTGGTGATTCAGTGGTTGAACAGCTGCTAAGTTCTAACAAATTCCTGAACTGTTACTAATGATGCAGCTGAAGCTGTTTGGTAGCCTCGGGGTACTGTTTCTGTGAAACTTTAGCAATATCTCCGAAGAAATTAGAAGAGAAAAAGAGCAGCATTTATTTTTACTAATACTCAAAATTTTAACTGTTCATTTAAAGTTACTTTGAGAAATACTGTCAGGGAATTGATTCCATCAGACTTGATTCCCATTCCCATACTTTCTTACTTCTTAGATGAGTTACTGAAAGGCAAAATTTTATAATAAAGTATTTATAAATATTTACAATAAAATTAAATAAAATAAAAAGTGTTTGTGAAGTGGCTTGAGAAACTGAAACTATGAAAACTTCTACACCCTGTATTATAAGAGGGTTGCTAAATGACTAGAGGATGTCATCAGCATTAAAATATATATATATATATATATATATAGAAATGGCAATGCTACAGAGGACTCTTTGGGGTACTGGGCTGAACTGAGTTCATCACTTAGGTCCTCAGTTCCAATCTCTTACAGTACCTGTGCAAATCAATGCTATTTACAGAAATAAGGTAGTTAAAAAAAACAGAAAAAATTATATATATTGGTATTACAGTTTTCAGATTTCACACTCTCGATTTTTTCCTGCATTTTAGAATTTTAATTCCACAGGTTGTGGGGCTTGATTGGGACCCATGTTATACCACATTTTGTGTATTTTTCCTCTTCTTTCTGCTTGACTTGCAAAACTGAGATGAAAATAAGTGACAGTGGGAGTGCAGGACAAACTTAAGTGGGATTTCTTGGCTAGGTCAGATGTTGAGATAGGGGTAGTTAAAAATTACAGATAACTTAATCTAAGCTACACAGTATAAATTTAGTTTTGCAATACCTGTGAAAGAGGTGGGAATTGCTGCCTGGTAGTTCACTTAATTTTTTCATAATGAAGGATTTTCATAACCTAAAACTTACTGATCAATCACACCAGAAACATCCTGCTCAAGAGTTCATGAAAGCATACATCAGGCAAGTTACCTGATAGAAGATGGATGTTTAGTTTGAAGGATATTCTGTCTTTTACCTCATGAGCAGTGTAGGAGAAACAGTATGATTTTACCATCTAAAAGTACGGCATGCAGAAAAAAAGTCTGGTTTTCGGTAAAACTGAGATGGGCCTGCTTAGAACTGAATCTGATTTCAGCTAAAGTATGTTCTCATGACTTGTGAAGAGCCTGTAGTTTCATCATGAAAGCAAAAGTCCCCTTTCTGCTTCAATCCTGAATGAAGCTGCGGCTAATTAATTTGTGGATGGATATAATAAAAAAACACCTACCAGATTTTTCTGTGAGCTGACTTTGTTTTCTAAGTGCTAGAAAAGTAACTGACAAATTTCCTGGGGTTTTTGGAGAGGTATATCACCTTGTTGAATGTCTCACCTAGCACCAGAGAACACAGAGGAAGTGTCAGGGATGTGCACACAGAAAAGGTGGGAATACTGTAATGGGGAAGAAGTGGGAAGATATGCAAAGTACTTGTTCTCTGTGTTTAATTTGTTATATTTTGAGGGTTCTTGGCTCCTGCTGGTCTAGGAATCCAGAGAATCAAAGAAATGTGCATTCTGCTAGACCAGTAGGGATAGCAGCTGTTTCTTCTCTGAGCACTCCCTCTTTTCTTATAACCTCTCTTGCAAGTATTTTTATCCAATCTCCATTTAATTCTGCTTCTGCTGGGGCATTGTTACGTTTGCCTTTGATCTTCAGATTAGAACAATTTGTTTCCTTCTGCAATTTTTTTACTTACTAATTTATAAACTTTTGACAGCAAGTTCTTTGCATGTATATCGTAGGTATCTGAACTCTAGGTCAGAGTTGTTTTATATACTGTTATGCTAAAATTAACATTGCATGCAGAGACATGAAAACAAAATGCATAATCTAAGTTGTACAATTCTTGGCTAAAGAAAATCAGCAGGTCTCAGGGTAGTTCTGTAGAAGAATGTAATACACAAAAAGGAAAAAAATATCAATAAGGAAATTGATTTTTGTAGAGTCCTCACACTGTCAAACTAAGTGTTATTTTCAGTTTTTTTAACATGGAGCTTTGTAAGCACTGGATGTACTATTTAACTGCTATGGATTTAAAGTTTCTAGTATAAGGTGTAAGAATTGTCAGTTTAAGATGATGATGTTTTTAGAGTTTTGAAATTAGTTTTTTTCTGTGATTTTAGAAGATGGCCTGCAAATACCAAAGAAGTTCAAAGATCTTTGCAAAATACGAATGTGTGTACTTAGAGTAGTAGGTAAATGATTGAGATTGTAACCATTGCTCCGGGTGAGCAAATCCACAAATTGAGGAGTAGACTTTTCATAGGTTCAAGGTAACCTAGAGGAGTGTGATCAGTACAGTTAGCCAAGAAAAGCTGTAATAGTATTTCTCCATTGAAGGTTGGCATCAAGAGAGAAGAAAGACAGAGAGGAGAATGATTATAAGTGAAGAAATGGGCAAAAACTATAAAAAAAATAATTGTAGGAGGATGAGGAATGAGAAAAATGAAATGGAATAATTGAATATGAAAAAAAAATTATCTTAGTGGTCAGGTGGTGGTTTTCAGTTAGAAAAGAATATTAAACTGCTGGGCTTCAGAATTAGCAAGACTAAGACTTCCAGTTCCATGTGGAACTGAGTCAGTATCACTGAGATACCAACTCCCATCAGTCTCTCCTCCCTTACTGGTGAGTCTGTAGTGAGGTCCTTCAGTTTTGTAACCTGGCAGAAAAATACACAGCTTAAAAAAAAAAAAGAGTGTTACCCGATGAGCAGGTTAGCATGGTTCAGTCCTGGATCCAGTGATGGATACGGGAGAGCAGCAGTAAGGAAAGAGTAGGACTGTGACCACCACTACCTAAATTGGCTTAAAGTACCAGAGGGGTGCCAGTTGAGAGGCTTTTTACATCTTGAAAAATAATTTTTGACTCCTTTGACAGCAATGTAAAACCTCAGCCTAACCATCCTGAACTAATTTGTAGCTTGGGAAAAAGTCTTAAGGATGGCATTTTAATTTTTTATATTCTGGAATCGACTGCTGTATGTGCTAGGTAAACTTGTCTGAACTTGTTTCCTCTGAAATTATTCTCCCTAAGTTTTCTGTGTGATTGATTCCCATTCCATCCTCTGTTTTTCAAAGTCTTAGCTTTCTGAACTCAGTCATGCACAGATGCACAGCAACTTACTTTTAGACATTCTGGAAACAAAATACCAATAATTTTTCCATTCATTTGACTTGCTTCAGAATTATACGCCTTGCTTTTCACACCTTTTGTACCTTTGTTGTCCTTATTTCCCTTGGCTTAAGGAGAAGGATTTCATGTGTCTCTTCTCATTAATGTTGAGTGAATGAATATTTTTCAGTTACTCTGAGTGTCCAGAAATTTTCATTATTTTTAGTTTTACTTAATTTTCCTGCCACATCATGTAACTGAAAGCTTAAAAAACACTTTTTCTGGTTTTGGTTATGGATTTTTTTTTTCCTATATATTAGTTTTTACACACATTAAGGGAGGTTTTTACTGCAAAGTGCTATGTATAAGAATATAGTCCATAAAATTAGAGACTGTGTGAATTTAGGTATTATTTTGAAATATTCATGAGATTCTGAGGCTCAGGAGATTAAGAGGCACTAAGGTGGTTTGTCTTGTAGTAGAAAATGTATTTTAAGCTGCTTTTGCTTATGGTTGTGCACCTTGTCTACTACAATCCAAAAGTATAATTTTGCAGTCTCTGAAAGGCAATTTAATTCTGCATATTTCTAACATCTAAGTCTAAATTTGTTTCTCCTAAAAATTGGATTAGAGCAATAAATGTTTAGAGAACCAGAGTGTCTGAACAATATTCAAACAGAAAGATGTGTAAAA